CCGTGGTACGTTCGCAACGAAAACATACATCGTGACTTGAACATCCCACCAGTCAAAGCAGTTATCGCAGAACAAAAGGATAAGTACCTCACCAAGCTATCTTTGCACCCCAACCACCTTGCAAGAGGTCTAACAAGGTTGTGCAACCAATCCCGTCTTCGTCGCAATGACTTACCTACCCAGCGACCAACTTGAGGGACGCGCAACCAAAATTACAGTCCACTAATGTTTACTTTTAAGATTCGAAAACTTATTATTAGTCTCAAAGCTAAGAGAAGATTCAATAAATAAAGCAAAATTAATAGAAAAAAAAAAAAAAAAAAAATTTCCACCTCAGTGGTTGCCGCAATAAGCTGAATTGTCAAATTTGGAGCTCCGAAAACTTCCACGTCGTCTTATAGAAGCCAATACATTCACAACAAGTGAATGTTTGGTGCGGTATGGGGTTGGGGGCTTTCGAAAAGGGCTATGCAATTAACACAACAAATTTGAAAATTTTCATCCGTTTTTGTTTAAAGCCCATTTTGAAGGGCAACTTTTTCAAGGGCCACCCTGTATCTGTCAGTAGATACTCATTTTTTAAATCAAACTATTTTTTCAGAGTAAGTGAATTAATAAGTCCTCTACCGCTAATCTGCCGACAAAACACTATCTTATGCTTATTAAATTTGGCTGTGCTGATCGCTGATGTGGAGAGCGAAAGCAATATTAGCGGAGGGTGGCGGTGCGCGGTTAATTACAATTTGGAAGCAATTCAGGCTTTTCCCGACTGTGGTCGTGAAGTTTGTAGAGGCTTTTGGCCTAATAATCTCCCGATGCAAAAACAGAAACATTGGCCAGAGTTTTTGTCTTCGCCACCCGCTTTGTGCGAGCTTTGTTTAGATTCCAGTGCATTAATTGTCAATACCGCTTCCCCCGCCGAATGGAATTCTTCGCCACCCGCTTTGTGCGAGCTTTGTTTAGATTCCAGTGCATTAATTGTCAATACCGCTTCCCCCGCCGAATGGAATTCTCGGCAAACACGAAAATTTTCCCTTCACACTTTATAACTGGTTCGTTCTAATGCTGGCTCTTAACTAAGGTGCTCAAATTTTCACATTCATTCTGATTGCTTGCTTTATGGTTGCCACAAATTGATAGTCGTTGGCCATGAATTGTCATGAATTTGGAATATGGATTTCGGATTCTACAACCGTCGACAGACTGGAATTTGAAAGGGTATTTCCGTATAAAAAAAACCTTCACTTCTTAAGTTTAAATAGTGATCTGATTTTTTGTTTGCCTGATCAGGAGCCACGTAGCGACCTTTATGTGCAGTGTGGAAAATATATATTTGGTTCGCCTCAAGTGCCATGCACTTTAAGATTACAAGTGTTTAGCAGCGCGCAAATTCTAATTTATTGCTCTCGATTGATTAACAAAGTGACATGAATTCTAATTCTTAAATTTATGATAATTATATGATAATTGGTGTTCTCCTTGAAAATTCTGCCACGGGCCGGCAAGATAAGGCGTATTGTCTATAAGTTACATAGATTGGTATATATTTTGGTGGACAGTATATTTTTTTGATTAATTTTATTTAGCCTTTAATTTATTTATTTAAGCACAACCTGCACGTTTTTAAACTACTGTGGGAAAAAAGGAAGGTGAATTTTCAATTTAATACTCTCATCTATCAAGACAAGCTCAAATGCATTATCACGGAAGATGAGACTTGGATTTATGCTTTCATTCCGAAAACAAAATTTGACGGCACTTCTGTGCTCAATTAATCATACATTGTGAAAATCGAAAAATGCACTCTTGGTCGTTTGGTAAACACAAGAGTAAATATATTACTGATAATGACATTGACATGATATTTTAAATTGAAAATTATCCTTTCTTTTTGCACACAATTTTTTCATTCTTATTTTGTCGTTGTCTTCAACTGAGTCGACTTCATCTACCGGTGGTCTACCTATTAAGAAATGTATTGACTTTATAACTTTATTTTCCTTTATATTTTCTCCAGTAGTATACAATAAAGGTCTTCATAAATGCAGTAGTGTTCTGCTCTCAAAACTACTGCACTCATTTTTTGCTGTACAGTATATTCCATAACCCAAAATACTGTTCAACATTTTAGTGAATTGAATTGCGTTCACAGCACTGGTTTTAATTCATATCTAACAATTGAGTCTTTAGTGGATAATGTTTAATTGTTTTGAATTTTGTGTAAGTCAATGCGATGTTTAAGAAGCAATACTAAAAATTAAATCGAATGCCACTTGTCTTAATGATCTGAATTTAAACAAGAAAGGAAGCAAACTTCGGCAAGTTCACATACCCTTGCAGCTATTGCAAAATTTAAATATTTTTTAAAACATTAAAATTATGATTTACTTGCGTATATGTCTTAAAACATTGAAGCTATGATGACTTGCAACTCAATTATTATATAGTTATTTTTTATATTTTTTTTATTTCTATGGGAGCTATTTGATATACTCGTCCGATTTTGATGAAATTTAAAACGTAAATCGGAAATATTTAACCATTAATAAATGTCGAAGAACTAAACAAAAAATTAAAAAACAGAAAAGTTATAATTTTTTTTCAATTATTTTTCAGATTATTCCTATGGGAGCTATATGCTATAGTCGTCCGATTTTGATGAAATTTAAAACGTAAATCGGAAATATTTAACCATTAATAAATGTCGAAGACCTAAACAAAAAATTAAAAAACAGCAAAGTTATAATTTTTTTTCATTTATTTTTCCGATTGTTCCTATGGGAGCTATATGCTATAGTCGTCCGATTTTGATGAAATTTAAACCGTAAATCGGAAATATTTAACCATTACTATATGTCGAAGAACTAAACAAAAAATTTAAAAACATCAAAGTTATAATTATTTTTTATTTATTTTTTCGATTGTTCCTATGCTATAGTCGTCCGATCCTGCTCGTTCCGACTTATATACTACCTGCAATAGAAAGGCAACTTTTGGGAAAGTTTCATGCAGATAGCTTTAAAACTGAGAGACTAGTTTGCGTAGAAACGGACGGACAGACGGACATGGCTAGATCGACTCGCCTAGTGATGATGATCAAGAATATATATACTTTATAGGGTCGGAGATGTCTCCTTCACTGCGTTGCAAATTTCTGACTGAAATTATAATACTCTCTGCAAGGGTATAAAAATACTTCTTCCAAAAATTATAATCTACGACTACCACATCTACTTTTCCCAACTCCTGGAAAACTGCAAAAAATCTGGCAATTCCCAAAGCCAATTATGCATATAGAACAATCTTAATCCTACCTAACCTGTCAAAAATGTTAGAGATGCTAATGGCGAGACAAATAAATATTTTCTTCGTCAGTAAAAAATTATTAGAGAAAAACCAATCTGGTTTCCGAAAAATAACAAACTGTACTATAGCGGTTGTCAAGATATTGTAGTAGAGGATATTCACCGTCAATTAGATAACAGTAGAATAAAAATTTAAAATTTTTTGTTGACCAAAATGCAAAATATGTATACTTTTTTAGACAGCTATAAGGATTATGAAATCATATATCTCTTATAGGCAAAAATCTGGTGTTTTGGGGGAAAATGTGTCAGAGATACGAATGGCTACTCGTGGTGTACCACCGGGATGTGTAGTAGTGCCATTCACTATATGTGTTAACGATCTGTCAAAAGTTCTGTCCTTATCCACTGTTCATATGTTTTTAATACTGAATTTTTGAGTGTTAGCATTTAGGCTAAGAAAAATGTTCTGAGCCTAAGCCTTTCTGAATAAAAAAGCCTAGTTATGTACAAGAAAAATATCCAAACAATTTATCCACTGAAGCTGATTAGGAGAATATGTTTAGAAAGTGCTAGTAATTTAACATTTATTTCAATAAGTCACTTTCGTGACCATATCAATATAACACCCGGACGAACATATGGGAGTGTTACGACAAATATACATAACACAGTCTTTTTTCTGACAGTCTAAAACTATTGTTATAACTACCCTTTTTAAGGGCTCGAAATACTCGGAAACTTTGACGTAAAAAGCCAGCTTTTAACAGTGTTGCACAATATATTTACTATTTGAAACCAACGGACCGTGTAACAGAAAGCGCAAATAATATATTTAACCTTAATGTTCATACCTGGATTGATTTAAGAAGCTTAATATTCTGACGTAAAATAATAGTAACAAAGCAACCTGAGTATTTGCTTGTCCTTATAAGATTTTCTTTCTCGCAATATTGTTAATATACGTATAGGACTTGCAAGCTCTGACAAACAGTTCTTCATTTTTGCTGCTAAGCTCTGGAACCATTTAGCCAACCAAATTAGATAATTTAAAGGCACATGACAATTCGAAAACAAACTTTAACGTTATCTGTGCACACAAACACAAAATCAAAAGAAGTTAAAGCACTTTCAGTAAAAATAACTTTTAAACCATTGCTAGAACAGTAAGATCTTAAAAGCATGGTAATATTAATTTTCGTTACTTGCGAATGGCGCATTATTTAAAAAGTTTAAACTTGAAGTTTCAGGACAAAGAAATAAAATAAAGAAATATAAAAGATGTGTCATCTATATGATAAAGTCAACTCATTTTGTCGGTATTAAAATATTCAAATTAAATAAAAATAAAACTAAATTACTAATTTTGAGCCGATTTTTTCTATGAAAGCTATAGGATATAGAGTTTCGATCTGAACCGTTTTCGAACTGATCTGCGAGCACGTAAAATAAGACGATTGCGAAAGCTTCAAGTTTCTAGCTTTTAAATTAAGCTTCCAAACTGTATAGAAACAGACAGAAATAATATATACTTGTATATGTTAGATGTAGTTTAAGTGTTATTAATTATTTGATTAAATAAAATGAAAATACATTTTTGTTAGGGTTTAGTTTGTTTCATAAGGTACAAAGCAACCGAACGAATGTGGTTTATGCGCGATAGACAATTCTAATTTTAACTAAAGTTATACATACTTGTGAATTCGAATACATTGATCATGATGTCCTTGGGTGGCTATCATTACATCAGCTTCATCTAACACAAAAACAGTAATTCTTTTTAGGTCATAAAGGCGGAATTTTAACCCCCAATCTAACAATTTTCCCGGTGTTCCTATCAGAATATGCTCCTCAATTTTTTTGGCTCGATCAACTAAAAACAGAATCGATAAAAGGTTTATAAAAATATATTTATATATATATATATATATATTCGAAAAAACATACCTTCTTCACCCCGGACGGCAAATCTTAGTTTTATGTCCGGGCAGAACTGCCCCATTCGTGCAGCCACTTCACCAGTTTGAATTGCCAACTCATACGTAGGCGATAAGCAAAGGACCTACAAAATAATTTAAAATTAAGTTTTCAGGAGAACGGAAGATAGCTTCGACAAGCCGAAGTATACCGAAATTTAATCAGTGAGTTTGTCAAGACCATTCCCGATTTGCAAGTTTTTTCAACGGCACGGCCACGGCACCAAAAGATGAAGTCATCCGATGTTGTTTGGCTCTCGATTCGATTCTTTTTTTATTTTTGTTTGAACTTTTAGAATTTTATTGGTCAAGTCGAGAAGATGATGACGGCTAAATGGCACGGCCACTATTGATTATCATACGGGCTCGTTTTATGGTATTTTTCTTTACTTCGGAGACAACAGAACAACGAAAGATTTTCGAACTCGCGTCGGCTTCCACTCTCGGGCTTGTCCACTTATGCAGGGGTGTTCAAAAAATCCCACAAATATAAAGTATTGAACGGTTAAACAGGGCGTCCAATTGCGGCAGAAACTCGGTTAGCATGGCCGTATAATGCGAACCGTCCACTGTTGTCGTTTGCACAGCGTGAACAGCGGATCGTGCACATTGAGCGGGTGTAACGACTCTTGGTGCATCACGTGGATTTTCGGTGCCCCAAAAGCGATAGCTTTGCTTGCTCACCTACCCGCAGAGATGAAAATGAGCCTCATCGCTCATTATGATTTTGTAAAAAAAATAGTGCACTTCGTCAACCAATTCTGACGGCGCCCATTTGCCTGATATCTTTTTCTCGATTTGAAATTTCAAACATATCAGGTGAAAATTTAATACTATTTTGTATTGACAACGCGAAAACTTGTGAAGCAGTAGTTCGAGACGATTTTGATTGCGAAACTTGTGAAAACAATGACGAAAGCGCGACGAAAAGGAGTGGCTAGGATGACGTTCGATGGATCACTAACAATTATATTTCAATAATTTCTCTTAGAACCTAACTTATGCTACGGTGGCGAGAGACGGGGCGAATTCGCAAGAGCGAACAGACGAAAGCTTTATTGGCTCCCGCTCTCGCCCTACAACTAGTGATTTAAATACAAGCGCTGAGTGCGCAAACACCGCCCCCTCTGAAGGGACGACGTCCTTCAGCCCAGAACGGGCAACAGGGCCAGTCGGTGGACAGCTCGCCGATATTCGCCGTCCTGCGTCCTGACGTCCGCCACGCGAACCTTGCTATCGGCGCCGGCGTGCACCGCTACCACTCGTCCGATCCTCCACTGCTGGGGTGGAAGATTGTTTTCTGCGACGACGACGAGCGCTCTTACGACGAGGTTGGGCTCCCCCTGGTGCCACTTGGACCGCTGCTGGAGGCTGGAGATGTACTCCCGGGACCATCGCTGCCAAAACCTGTGGCTGATCTGGTCCGGGAGCGCCGCTGATGGTGGGGCCAGAAGAGGGCCGCCGATGAGCAGATGCCCGGGGGTCAGGGCCTCGCCGTCGTTCGGGTCGCTGCTTAGAGCGCCGAGGGGCCTGGAGTTGAGCACGGCCTCCACGCTGGTGAGCAGAGTTCCGAGCTCCTCCGCGGTCAAGAGGTCTTGGCCTACCGTCCGAAGGAACAGGTGCTTTGCAGACTTCACACCGGCCTCCTATAGTCCGCCGAAGTGCGGTGCTCTGGGCGGTATGAAAGCAAACTCGCATCCTTTTTTTGATGCGAATGTTTCGATACCGCCCCCCTGCTCTACCAGACGGGCTCGGAACTCTCTCATGTGGCGTTGTCGCACCACACCTTCTCCGGAATCCCGCGACGACTCACGAACCTTTGAAATGCCAACAAGAACGCATCAGTGGTTAGGTCAGACACTAATTCTAAGTGGACCGCTTTGGACGCAAAACAGACGAACAAGGCCACGTGCGACTTGTACGGTGGCTTACCACGGATACGATACGTTGTGCTGAAGGGACCACAAAAATCAACGCCACAAATATTGAACGGGCGGAGAGTTCGAAGTCTATCTGCTGGCAAGTTTCCCATAATTTGCGTCAAAAGTTGCGGCTTACAGCGAAAGCAGCGCATGCACGACCGAACTGTTCGTCGGCAGACTTCTTGAGCATTAACTAGCCAGATTTTCTCGCGCAGACGACTTACGAGAGCTCGTGGGCCAGCGTGACAGTTCGTAACGTGCAGGTATGACACATAGGATCTGACGAACTGTGAGCTTTTGGACATCAACAACGGGAATTTGGCTTCGTACGGGATAGGAGCATTCAATAACCGACCCCCAACTCGTAGCATTGTCGAGGAGCACCAATCTAATTTATTTTCCTGAAGAAAAGGGTTTAACTTTTGAATATTCGTTGCTACCGGTTTATTCTTCCGAATTTTACTTATGTCGTCCCTGAACTCGTGAAATTGGGCAACTTCGACAATTTTATCAAAAGCGAAATCCAGTTCTCTTGGCGAAATACTTTTTTCAAAGGGCTTCGACACCTTTCTGCACCTTTGAATAAAACGAAAAACCCACACGAAAACTCTCAGAAGTTTCAGGTGCGACGAAAAGGACTCTATTTTCTGAAGCACATAATTTGGCTCTGGGCTGACTACGAGAGCTATTGCCGATTTGCGTAGCTCCATCGACATTACATCAGCCGGCAGTTCGAAATGTTTATTTACAGGCCAATTATTTTCTGAGTCTAGCAAGAACGAAGGCCCACCGAACCAAATGGACGTTGTAAGCTCCTCTACGTCGCATCCTCGGGACACTATATCTGTTGGGTTGACTTTCGTGGGAACGTGTATCCAAATTGCTTTCTCCGACCACTCCTGAATTTCAGCAACCCGGTTCGAAACAAAAACCGACAACGACGAGGGATGGGTTTTAATCCAGTGTAAAGTGATCTCGGAGTCTGTCCACAGGAAAACATTCTCAATGGGAGAATTTAGCAATGGCCTGACACGATTATCGAGATCTGCTAAAAGGTGAGCTGCACACATCTCAAGGCGAGGCAAAGTTTTCGTCTTGAGGGGAGCTACTTTCGATTTGGCGGTCAATAAAGACACTTTCAAACCTTCACCAGTTTGAGTCCGAACGTAGATGCACCATACGCTCGCATGGAAGCGTCAGCGAAACCATGTATTTGAATCGGGACTTGTGGATCTGTGTTGACGAATCGAGATACCTTAATTTTAGGCAGCTGCAGAAGCGTCGCTTTAAACGTCTCCCACGACGTGAGCAACTGCATCGGTAGCAACTCGTCCCAATCTAATTTTCGAAGCCACAGTTCCTGCAACAACATCTTTGCCTTTGTGACCAAAGGACACAAGAGGCCAAGTGGGTCGAAAAGTCGAGCAGTCACCGACAAAATATTTCGCAAAGATCCAGGAAAGAGTCATCCAACCGAAATTGAAAGTAATCTTTAACCGGTAACCAAACCACGCCAAGGGTCTTGGTTACGTCTGAGTCTGCCATAAGTGGCATTACAGCGCTATCAGATGCGGATAACTCTGGGCAGTTTGAAAACCACTTTGCCAATTCAAAGCCTGCCTCTTGCAAGACCTGAGAAACTTCGTCTCGAAGGCTTTGCAGGTCCTCAACGCATCCGGCGCCAGTCAACAAATCGTCAACATAAAAATCATTCTGAATAACCTTTGCGGCTTTTGGATGAGTTGCTTGCGCCATCTCTCCTAGCCGCATTAAACACCGAATCGCCAAAAAGGGGGCTGGCGAAGTTCCATATGTAACGGTGTTCAACTTAAAGATTTTCAGGGACTCAGAAAGATCTCGTCTGCATACTATGAGCTGGAAGTTACGATCAGCTTCGTCCACCATCACTTAGCGATACATCTTTTTGACGTCGGCCGCAAGGGCAAACTTATGCAATCTAAACCGAAGCAGAGTCGAGTACAGCTCCTCTTGAATAGTTGGGCCTACCATCAAGATGTCATTCAACGCTACCTGCGTAGAAGTACGGCTCGATGCATCGAAAACTACTCTCAACTTAGTTGAAGTACTTTGTGGCCGTAAAACGCATTGGTGCGGAATGAAATCAGTATTCGGAATTTTGTCATTGATGGAGGACATGTGGCCCAATGAGACATATTCCTCCATGAATTCAATATACATCTTCTTCAGCGAAGGGTCCTTTGACAATTTCCTTTCTAGCGACAAAAATCTACGTTTCGCAACTTCGTATGACGAACCAAGCAAGAGTATTTGGGTCAGATTTAAACGGCAAACGTACCGAAAATCTACCGGACGACAATCTTTGAGTAATTTTCTCAAAGTGTTGCTGACAGAGTTGTTGCTCAGGAGTATGGACTTTAGCCTTGGGCGGCAAGTCCTCCACAGACCAAAATTTCTGCAGGGTTGTGTCAATTGACTCCAACGCTTCCTCCTGGCAGCTGAGATGTACCATTTTTTCAGCGTTTTTATTATTTTCAGAGGCACATCTGCCTGACACTATCCAGCCAGAAACTGTCTTTTGTAGGATGGGGAATTCAGGCCCCTGCTATATCTGGCCAATAGATAAAAGTTCAAAGAATGTTTCAGCGCCGATAAGCATATCTATTTTTTGGGGCTTGAAGAAGAATGGATCTGCCAACTGAATATTTTCAGGCACCCTCCACCCGCTGGTGTTCACCGCTTGATCCGGATGATAACCAGAAATATTTTTCATAATCCAAAAATCGGACGACAATTGGCTGTTCCCTACTCGCGACTTCACAATCGTGTGTATTTTTTTTGTGACTTGGGCATTAGTTCCACCAGTGCCTCGCAAGCTCATGCACACGTCCTCTCTTGTAATTTTGAGCCTCTGAGCGAGCTCGTCGGTTACAAAGTTTATTTGTGAACCAGAGTCGAGCAACGCTCGAGCTAATACAAACTCGCCGTTTTTTGTTTGGACGCTCACAACAGCAGTTGCAAGAATGACTCGATCCGATGCATTCGCATGCAAAACATGCGAAGTGGATGGAGACTCCTGCATGAGCGTGGGCTGAGAAGGAGGTGGCAACGCGAGATTTGTGTTTGGGACATATATATGTAGCAAAGTGTGATGTGAGGAATTGCACACTCTACATCTGTTCGAT